AGGAGAGGAGGCAGGTGAGTGGGAGGGAAGGAGGGGAGATGTGGGAGAGGAGGGAGAAGAAGGAGAGGCTGGTGTGGGTGGAGAGGAGGTAGGTGTGGGAGAGAGGGGAAGAGAGGGGGAGAAAGCTAGCTGTAAGAGGGAGAAAGGGGCCGGTGTGGAGGGAAAGGCGCCTGATGCTAGGAACGGGGATGTTATGACTGGGATGAAGCGGAAGGGGGGAGGAGATTTGGAGGAGGTGAAAGTGAAAGGGAGGAAAAGGAAGGCGGGGGAAAAGGGGAATGCTGGTGATGGGCATGGGCATGGGCATGGGAATGGTGTTTTTAGACTAGTGTGGAGGAGGATTGGACGGAGGTGGATGTTACAACGGGTGATCTAGTGTTGCTGATATGCGTGAAATGGTATGAGAAGACTTGTACTGGGAGTAGGCGCCAGGGTTGGAGGAGGGTTGGTCGCAGGTTGATGTGTAACTGGTTTCGCAACAGATGGTCGACTGCTGCTTAGATGCTTGGAATATGCAAAGAGTTTTAGCCTTTTCCAGAGGTTACGCATGAGATGTAATTAGCACGTATCGTCCTCTACGTAATCTGTAGCAGGCTTAAATTTGTAGTGCATGGGAGTACGCAATGTAGTGACTAGTCTCTAGTTTAGTGTTGTCTTTTATAGGTTTGGTGAAGTGTTTTATCCAAGTGTTGTGGCTAGTTACGACTCTCCTTGTATTTGCTCACTGTGCCCGAAAGCTCATATCACTTGCCACGGTTTCGTTGGGTGCGTTTCGGTTTCAAAAAGTCAAATATGCCAGAACGCTCTTAACCGATGGAAAGCCCTTCTGAACCGTTCAGGGACGATGAGCATTCAAGCGCACAGCATTTTTCCCGATTCACCCCTTCCGAAACCAGCTGGGATACTCCTTTGAATCTGCCTCGTCCAGCCGCGAAACGCGCTGCATGGCGGACAGCAGTCGTCGTATAAGGCGAAGCGCCATCGCTACAGCTAGGCCAAATAGCATGAAGTTCCATGGTTCATCCCAACGCATCAAGACAGCTACAGAGGCATCTTTTATTGTACGCGAGGTTGTTATTGGCCGTTCGATTTCATCCCACGGTCGAGGTGTGATCTCCTACAGAGTGACGGCGGGTCGCCATTGCCTCGAAACCGGAGCTGTTCCGTTAGCGTCACCGTCACCGTTACGTTTCCGTCCTCGTGATTGTTTCGTCGCTCGGTCGTCTCGTTCGTGGCATAACCTTCAAGACGGGGTACACAAGCGGTGATGGCCGGCACGGGAAGTGTCGAAGCTGTACCGTGCTTTTGCCACAGGAGGAACCGCCGCGAGACTAGTAAGCTGATTGCGAGGGTTTCCTGTAGAGCAGCAGCGAGAGGAGTAAGCATACTGCCGACGCCGACGGCGACGCGTGTCTTGAGTCTGCTTATGAAAGTGGGTGTCAGGGTTTCCTTGACCGAAACATCCTCGCTATTATCTCTCTTTTTTTTTAGTGCCTTAACGAAGCAAGTTATTGACGAGAAGTAGCATCTTCAGCCATGGCTGCTTGTCTCAATAAATTGTCAGGAAGAAACGGATTCGTGTCGTTCGCGATGGCGTTGTTTCTGGTGCTGCTTCTTCTGGCGGCACTCTCACTGAATCCCTCGGGAGTTACGACCGTTGCTGCGGTGCCGCTGCGGGACTTTCGCGGCAGCAGGCGAATTGGGGTTACCACCCGTGCGAGTGAGGTTGAGATTCTCGCACCAGATGCTGGCGGCAGCAGCAGCAACAACCCGCCTCTTCCCGTGGCGGGGATTTTTGGCGACCTTCAGGTGCGGTTTTCAGTCAAGTGTCCTTCTGAGAAATAAAATCTTGCACTTCGTGTTTATGCTGGCGTTTACGCTCCAATTCATTCCATCCTTCTCACGTCCCTTTTCTCCACTCCATCCTTTCCTCCATTTTCCTGCTCCCTCCCTCCCTCCCTCCCTCCCTCCCTCCCTCCCTCCCTCCCTCCCTCCCTCCCTCCCTCACTCCCTCTCTCCCTCCCTCCCTCCTCGCCCACCATCCTTTTCTGTTCTTGTTTACTCACCCCATCCCTCCCTCCTCGCCCACCAGAGCCCAGCAGCATCCAGCTATTCCATGTTCGTGCAAGCCATGGCGTCCCTCCAGCCCCCCATGGACTATGTCGCTTTCCTCAACGGAGCTGTCAACAGGTCATAACAATCTCTTCCCTTCCCCACTCTCTTTCTCCTACCCTCCCACCAGAGCCCAGCGGCCTCGGACTACTCCATGTTCGTGCAAGCCATGGCACCCCTTCAGCCCCCCATGGACTATGCTGCTTTCCTCTACGCACCTCAACACGGCATTCGATATTCCATCCTGCTTCTGTACTTTCCACAACATTCCACCAGAGCCTAGCCGCCTCGGACTATTCCATGTTTGTGCAAGCCATGGTGTCCCTTCAACCCCCCATGGACTGCTGTTTTCCTCAACGGGGGGGGTCTATCATGGCATCATATCTCTTCCTTTCCCCACGCCCATCCGCCCTCCCTCTCCCACCAGAGCCCAGCCGCCTCAGACTATTCCATGTTCGTGCAAGCCATGGCGTCCCTCCAGCCCCCCATGGACTATGTTGCTTTCCTCAACGGGGCGGTGGGCATGGCCAATGGCATCACCATCCTCGCACCCTCCAATGCCGCCTTCCAGGTGATCAAGTGCACGGCAGGGTGAGGTTGGGGAGCATGGGGTATGGTGATAGCTGCCAGATGAAGCAGTGGGTGCTTTCCTCAATGCGCGGTGGGCATGGCCAATGGCATCACCATCCTCGCTCCTTCTAATGCCGCCTTCCAGGTAACCAGTGCATTCTTGTAACTATCCTTATTTCAGGTGAATAGGTGGACTTCCCATCAATCCCCAGCTTCACTCGTGACCGTCTCCCTTGCACCCCTTCCCACCACTACCCATCTATCTCTTAATTTCTCCCAGGTTCTCGGCCCATACACCATATGCCTCACCAATTACACCCAATCCGGGCCCATGCTAGCCACCCTCCTCAACCACCACAGTCTGAGTCTGAAACCCAGCCACCCTTCTCACCACCCCTTGCCACCACCCGTTCCTCCCTTAATCCCTCCAGGTCCTCGGCCCATACACCTCATGCCTCGCCAGCTACACCCGATACGGCCCCATGCTAGCCATGCTCCTCAACCACCATATTCTGAGTTTGAATCCCGGTTAGGTTGCCAATCTCATTCCACCCCACCCATTCCACCCCTGATTCATCCCAGGTCCTCGGCCCATACACCTCATGCCTCGCCAATTACACCCGATCCGGGCCCATGCTAGCCACCCTTCTCACTCTCACCCACTCCCCACCACCCGCCCCTCCTGTAACCCTCCCAGGTCCTCGGCCCGTACACTTCATGCCTCGCCAACTACACCCGATCCGGCCCCATGCTAGCCACTCTTCTCAACCACCACATTCTCTACGGAAACTTCCCGGTGTCTGCGCTCTTTGACGGGCGGCGATATTTCACCCTTGCCAACACCAATGTGCTTGTTACCCGGGCGGCAACGGGGGTGACTGTGGAGGGCGCCAGGGTGGTTGAGCGGAATAAATTTGCAGGGTATAACGGCGTCGTGCATGGAATAGACCGGGTTTTGTTTCCACCAGGGATAACCCCCTCGGTGAGTGTGGTGTGGTTGTGGTGCGTTCATGGGGTGGTGGGTGCTGCTTGTGTGGGTGCAAGCATGTGGGGTGCGTGTGTGGGTGCAAGCAGAGCGGCGATACTTCACCCTTGCCAACACCAATCCGCTTGTGACCCGGGCGGCAACGGGGGTGACTGTGGAGGGCGCGAGGGTGGTTGAGCCGAATAAATTCGCGGGGTATAACGGCGTAGCGCAAGGAATAGACCGGATTTTGTTTCCACCTGGAATAACCCGCTTGGTGAGTGTGAGGCTGGTGTGGTGTGGTTATGGTGATGGGTGGTGATTGGTGCATGAATGGCTGATCGGAACAAAGACATGTGTTCGAGCATGACGGTTCGTAGTGACTGTTGAGTCTCATTTACACATACCCCATATGCCACTGCTCTCACTCCCCTCTCCCCTTTCCCCCCCTCCCCTCTTCCTCTCCCTTGCGTGCAGCTGTACACCATTTGCAACCAAACTGGACAGGGTCTGGCAGTGTAGAGATGGAGGGAGGAGAGTGTTTACATCCTATCATCCTATGAAGCAGCCACCGACTGACTAGTGTGCATAAGGTTCATGATACCTAGTACAGTACTTGTCTGTAACATTTGCACATGTGTGTGCTCCTTTCTGTCAGAATTTTTTACTTCGTCGTGGGAAAATAGAAAACTCTACCCAGTGTATTGACCTATTTGCCCCGGCTGCCTCTAATAAAAGTACAAGGCTTCATTTTCTACAGGATTGAACCAATGAACAAACTGGATAAACTACCACTACACCAACTTTTTGTAATTTCAGTACCTACCTACCCACTGTACACGCTACTCCTAACATGCACTTTTGTGCTCCTGGTCCTAATCTGCTTCCTGGCGTTCACCTGGCCGTTAGGTTAGCGTTTTGACAAGTGCCTGCTGCCACTGGAATCGATCTGCTTGTGCTTGCCATGCCACGACCTGGGCCGTGCCAGCAAGTGAGCTGCTGCTCTTTCTCCCACATGTCATCCTCCTGCTGTGCTTCCCCTTCATTTGCGTCTCAGCTTAACCTTGAGCTCCCTGTGTCATCCACCAAATCTATTTCCCCTTCATCTTACACCTCAGTTTTAACCTCAGCTCCATATATCATCCGCCTACTCTGCTTCCCCTTCATCTGGCGCTTGGGCTGTACCGTAACTTTCACAAGTGCTTGCCCCCATCAGGTCTCGCTAAGCTTCTGCCTGCCACACCACAACCCGAGCTGTGCCAACACGTGCGCCGATTCTCTTTCTCCCTCCTGCTCTGCTTCCGCGCCCGCCTGGTGTCGGGGCTTTAGCTTTAGCTCCCTGTGTGTCATCCACCTACTCTGCGTCCCCTTCACCTGGTGCCTGGGCTTTAACTTTCACAAGTGCCTGTCCCCACCGCGACTCGCTCTGCTTGTGTCTGCCTCGCCACGACCTGAGCCGTGCCAGCACGTGCGCGGATACAATCGCTCCCCGTGGCTTGCTGCCCATCTGGAGGAGAGAGGGGAGAGGGGAGAGGGGAGAGGGGAGAGGGGAGAGGAGGAAGTCAGGAAAGAAAGGAGGGAGAAGGAGAGTCATTGCCCCCACCGCGACTTGCTCTGCTTGTGTCTGCCTCGCCACGACCTGAGCCTTGCCAGCACGTGCGCCGATACGATCGCTCCCCGTGGCTTGCTGCCCATCTGGGAGAAGGGGAGAGAGGAGAGGGGGAAAGGGCTTAGCACGTGCGCCGATACGATCGCTCCGCGTGGCTTGCTGCCCATCTGGTGGACATCGGGGAGAGGGGAGGAAGGTATAGTTTTGGAGACGTTTTACAATACAGTCTGCCTCGCCACGACCTGAGCCTTGCCAGCACATGAGGCAAATACGATTGTTCCCTGTGGCTTGCTGCCCATCTGGAGGAGGGAAGGGCACCAGAGGAGGTGAGAGTAGAGCAGAGCAGAGGAGGTGAGGGAAGAGGTGGAGCAGAGGAGGTGAGGGAAGAGGTGGAGCAGAGGAGGTGAGGGAAGAGGTGGAGCAGAGGAGGTGAGGGAAGAGGTGGAGCAGAGGAGGTGAGGGAAGAGTGGCGCATCCGCCTATGTAACATATTCTTTCCATATTGCAGCGTAGCACCTATAAATAGAGAAATTGCACATGTCACGAGTGACCAAGTGTGCCGCAAGCATGACCAAGCGTGACCAAGCGTGACCAAGCGTGACCAAATGTGACCAAGTGTGACCAGGCGTGACCAGGCGTGACCAGGCGTGACCATGCGTGACCAAGCGTGACCAGGCGTGACAAAGCGTGACCAAGCGTGACCATGCATGACCAAGCGTGACCAGGCGTGACCAGGCAAAACCAAGCGTGACCAAGCGTGACCAAGCGTGACCAAGCGTGACCAGGCGTGACAAAGCGTGACCAAGCGTGACCAAGCGTGACCAAGCGTGACCAAATGTGACCAAGTGTGACCAGGCGTGACCAAGCGTGACCAAGCGTGACCAGGCGAAACCAAGCGTGACCAAGTGTGACCAAGCGTGACCAAATGTGACCAAGTGTGACCAGGCGTGACCAGGCGTGACCAGGCGTGACCATGCGTGACCAAGCGTGACCAAGCGTGACCAAGGGTGACCAAGCGTGACCAGGCGTGACAAAGCGTGACCAAGCGTGACCATGCGTGACCAAGCGTGACCAGGCCGTGACCAGGCGAAACCAAGCGTGACCAAGCGTGACCAAGCGTGACCAAGCGTGACCAGGCGTGACAAAGCGTGACCAAGCGTGACCAAGCGTGACCAGGCGAAACCAAGCGTGACCAAGTGTGACCAAGCGTGACCAAATGTGACCAAGTGTGACCAGGCGTGACCAGGCGTGACCAGGCGTGACCAAGCGTGACCAGGCGTGACAAAGCGTGACCAGGCGTGACCAGGCGTGACCAGGCGTGACCAAGCGTGACCAAGCGGGACCAAGCTGGACCAAGCGTGACCAGGCGTGACCAGGCGTGACCAGGCTTGACCAAGCGTGACCAAGCGTGACGAGGCGTGACCAGGCGTGACCAAACGTGACCAAGTGTGACCAAGTGTGACCACGTGTGACAACGAAGCATGACCAAGCGTGACCAAGCGTGACCAAGTGTGATCAAGTGTGACCAAGCGTAACCAAACGTGACCAAGTGTGACTAAGTGTGACCACGTGTGTTCAAGTGTGTGTTAGATATATGCTATCAACACTTTTGTGTACTCTACTTTATATGCTTTGGGATATTTGCGGGTTGAGTGTAGATTTGTAATCCCAACCCTATCCGGTTGGGTTTCCCCCGTAATCCAACAAATCTGCCAACTCACCATTGAAAATTTGCTTGGATTCCCATCCCATCCTTTTCCTAGCTTTGCTCAACCCAACCTTGTTTGTACTTAAGGCCTAGTGCCTTCTATTCTAATCAATCAGTTCAAGCTCCATTTCTATCAGCTCCTCCTACGAAGCACTTACATGTGTGACGAGGGCGTGGAGGGGCAGCGAGCTGATGCTGGTGATGAAGAGAGCCTTCAGCCTGAATCCATGTAAACTGAGAAATCGCTTTACTAGCGGGCGTATCAAGAGCCTACATGCTTCAGGAGCGATTTTTGAGGCGCCTAAAAAAATAGCCATGTAGACTCCCTGTTGTTCAGAAAGCACTACTTTGAGGGGCCTATCAAGAGCTTACATGTGTCAAGATTGCGTAGAGAGGCAGTGAGCTGATGCTGGTGATGAGAAGAGTCACCAGCCTAAAGTCATGTGGACTGAAAACAGGTCATTCTGAGGGCCCTACCAAAAGACAATCCAGCACTTACGTGTGTGACAAGGGCGTAGAGAGGCAGCGAGGCGAGGCTGGTAACGAGGAGAGTGAGAAGAATGACTGCGAACTTGAGACCAGGGAGCCATGTGGGCGCGGAGGTGCACTGCTGGTGGTTTGCCAGAAGGTACTGTGGCGGGAGGAGGAAGGGAGTGAGGAGGCGGGAAGGAAGGGAACAGGGATGGGCGAGCCACCTGGGCTTTGAGATTGAGTAGGCACATGTGCGAGGGGGTTCATGTGCTGGTGGTTTGCCAGTAGGTACTGTGGGGGAGGATGGGAGAGCGGGAAAGGAGATGGAATGGAGTGGCAGGTGAAGAGAGGAAGAAGGGGGGGGGGGGGGCGAGGGAAAGGGAATGACACTGAGGAGGCACGTCGGCGAGGAGGTGCATTGCTGGTGGTTTGCCAGTAGGTATTGTGGGGGGAGGAGGAAGGAAGTGAGGAGACGAAAAGGGAGAGGTGGGGGAGACGGGAGGCCTGGGGATGAGATCGTGTTTTGAGACGTCTCAAAACACGCTTACTTTCCCGCAGATTTTATATGGAGAAGTTTTTTGTGGGAGAGGTGGGGGAGAAGGGAGGCCTGGGGATGAGATCGAGGAACACTGTGGTTTAGGAGGTGCATTGTGGGTGGCTTATAAGTAGGAAACAATGGGAGAGAAGAGAAAAAGAAAAAGAAAAACAGGGAAACAGGGATGGAGAGGACAAGGGAGAGGGGAAAAGAGGAGAGTCAGACTAAGGGAGAAGTGGATAACGGGGGAAGGGATTGGAAAGAGGGCGATGGGGTGGGTGAAGACGGAGGGACAGCATGGTGGGGGGGGGGAGAGGCATGGGTACGCATGCCAAGGATATGCATTACTGATTATGATGTCAACCATGTGTGCATGGCGTCATGCCATGCGTGCATGACACCACACCATACTATGCGTGCATGACACCATACCATACTATGCGTGCATGACACCATACCATACTATGCGTGCATGACACCATACCATACTATGCGTGCATGACACCATACCATACTATGCGTGCATGACACCATACCATACTATGCGTGCATGACACCATACCATACTATGCGTGCATGACACCATAACATACCACGCGTGCATGGCAACTCACCAAATAAAACATGAGGCTTCCCAAGGCATATGAGCTCTGTACATAAGCAAACGAGGGGAGAGGTGGGGTTGGACGGGAAAGGAGGAGGGACGGAGGGGTGGAGAGGAGAAGAGGAGAAGAGAAGGAATGTGACATGAAGCTTTTCAAGGCATTGAAGAGGATAGGCGAGAGAATAAAAATGAGGAAGGAGAGGATATTTGAGAAAACTGGAGAAAAAAAAAAAAAAAAAAAAAAAAAAAACAAGCAAAAACAAAAGCCGCACCAGAAAGAGCGCAAAATGCATGATGTGGAGCAGCAGGCGTGGGCGGTGGAACCAGAAGAGGGAGTTGCGTGGCTTTAAGTGCGCGCCTGTGGCTGCCCCCTTGACATGTGCGCTCTCCAGAGCTAGCTGAGCCATGATGAACTCAAGCTTCGTGCCCACTGCCAGGGATAGCTGGTTGGGGGTGAGGAAACGGGGAAGGGCAGTGGGGAAAGAGGGGGTGCTGTCTAATCAGTTGCTATGCCCTTTATTCACATGTGCGCTCTCCAGAGCCAGCTGAGCCATGACGAACTCAAGCTTCGCGCCCACTGCTAGGGATAAATGGTGAAGAAAGGGGGGAAATGGAAGGCGGGTGATAAGGAAATGAGGGGAACGGTGTTCAGTGCCAGCCTGTGGCTACTCCTTTGACATGTGCGCTCTCCAGAGCCAGCTGAGCCATGATGAACTCAAGCTTCGTGCCCACTGCCAGGGATACCTGGTGGGGTGGAGGGAGGGGTACTGTCATTACGTGTTATGCCCCACTTGACGTGTGCGCTCTCCAGAACAGCCTGGCATAATGAACTCAAGCTTCGTGCCCACTGCCAGGGATACCTGGTGGGGTGGAGGGAGGGGTACTGTCATTACGTGTTATGCCCCACTTGACGTGTGCGCTCTCCAGAACAGCCTGGCATAATGAACTCAAGCTTCGTTCCCACCGCCAGGGATAGCTGGTGGGGGCACGGGAATGGGGGAAACAAGGAGGAAAGCAGTCAGGGGAGGGCAGTGGGGGTACTGTCATTACGTGTTATGCCCCACTTGACGAGTGCGCTCTCCAGAGCCAGTTGTGCCATGATGAACTCAAGCTTCGTTCCCACCGCCAGGGATAGCTGGTGGGGGCACGCGAATGGGGGAAACAAGGAGGAAAGCAGTCAGGGGAGGGCAGTGGGGGTACTGTCATTACGTGTTATGCCCCACTTGACGAGTGCGCTCTCCAGAGCCAGTTGTGCCATGATGAACTCAAGCTTCGTTCCCACCGCCAGGGATAGCTGGTGGGGGCACGCGAGTGGGGGAAACAAGGAGGAAAGCAGTCAGGGGAGGGCAGTGGGGGAAGAGGGGGTACTGTCATTAGCCCCACTTGACGTGTGCACTCTCCAGAGCCAATTGTGCCATGATGAACTCAAGCTTCGTTCTCACCGCTAGGGATAGCTGGTGGTGAGAGGGGAAGAGAAGAGGGGCCGAGCTGACACCAACACTAACATTTTATTATTATTATTATTATTGTTATTATTATATGAAAAGTATACATCGAGATGAGCAAGCATATACCATCATAACGGTCGTAACCGCGCGTGAGGAACAGAGGGTGAGCTACTGTTCCAGATAAGATATCTAAGGGCGGGAAGTGCTTGCCCTCCTCCTGGACCACAGTGCGGCAAACGCACTTGTCCACTTCCAACTCATGCCAACCGTCTTGATCTTTCCCAACATGTTCTGCTCCTCCATAAAATTTCTCCGATGCCGTTTGTGACGAACCGTGCCAAACTTGTGGGTGTAGATTCGTGCATGTTGCCTGAATGCGAACTCAATCTTGTGGAGCACTTGATTCGTGCGAAACTTCTGACCGCGGAAAACAGCTTCGCACCTTTCAACCCACAGCTGATGGAATGTGATGGATGTGAGGGTTAGCTCTGGAAATGCTGAGCTGGACCCCGTTACACCAACACTAACATTAACACCAGCACTAACACTAACACTAACACCAACAGCAACACCAACAGCAACAGTAGCTTCAGGTGATTCTTACCAGAAAGCCGAGAACTGTTATGATGATTGAGTCGTCCCACACTGCCGTGATGACAATCAGGGGGGAGGGGGAGAAGGGGGGTGGGGGGTTGGGAACGGGGGTGTGGGGTAGAGCAAAAAGATGAGGAAGGCGAGGAAGAGGAGCAAAGGGAGGGGATTGAGGGATGCTTGATTGAGAGACGGAAGCATGGGAAGGCACGCACGAGGAGAGCATGGGATGGCACGAGGAGTGTGGGATGGCACGAGGAGTGTGGGATGGGATGAGGAGCATTTGATGGCACGAGGAGCATTTGATGGCACGAGGAGCATTTGATGGCACGAGGCGCATGGGATGGCATACTGGCTGTGCACGGCTTACTGACCATAGCTGGTGAGGAGACTTTTGAGCCGACTCAAAAGGATGGCATACTGGCTGTGCACGGCTTACTGCAGGGTGTTTCTGAGAATTCTCACGGCTCACGGCTTGAGAACACCCTGCAGCAGCATGGGATGCCATACTGGCTGTGCACGGCTTACTGACCATAGCTGGTGAGGAGAAATGATGGCCACGACAGTGAGCTAGATGTTTTGATTTTGACAATGACATACATGCCCATAGCCACGTGTAGAGAGGGTGTTTTTGAGACGTCTCAAAACACCCTCTCTACACGTGACTTTCGACAATGACATACATGCCCATAGCTCTAAGCCCATCCCAATATCTCTCTCTCACTGCCCACCCCACCCCACTCTCGCACTGCTGCTGGCTTACCGTAGCTGTTGACGAGAATGATGGCCACCACTGATAGCCAGATGTACCAACTGCGACAATGACATGCATGCACACACCCTGCCACTGCCGATCCAACCCTCTCGCTGCGCATCCCATCCCATCCCACCCTTTTATGGGTTACTGACCGTACCTGCTGACGAGAATGATGGCGACCACTGAGAGCCAGATGTACCAACTGCAACAGATCCAGATGTACACACATGCTCATAGCTCTAAGCTCATCCCTACTGGCCATCCCACCCCACTCTCTCACTGCCCATCCCAACCCGCTCTCTCACTGCTGCTGGCTTACCGTAGCTGCTGATGAGAATGATGGCCACCACTGAGAGTCAGATGTACCAACTGCAAGAATACAGAGGACGGAGAGTCAAGGCGAGTCAAGGCGGGTCAAGGCGGGTCAAGGCGAGTCAAGGCGAGTCAAGGCGGGTCAAGGCGAGTCAAGGCGGGTCAAGGCGAGTCAAGGCGGGTCAAGGTGAGTCAAGGGGAGTAAAAGGAAAGTCAAGGAGGGTCAAGGTGAGTCAAGGCGAGTCAAGTCCTTTTCCAGTGCCCGCAGCACACAGGCGTGGAAGTTGATTGAAGTCAAGGTGAGTCAAAGGCGAATCAATGCGAGTCAAGGGCACTCACTTGGTGCCGACCATGCTAATGAAGACCTTTTCCAGCGCCCGCAGCACACAGGCATGGAAGTTGAGGTCTAGGCGAGTCAAAACAATTCAAGGAAAGTCAAGGCAAGTCAACGTGGGTCAAGGGCACTCACTTGGTGCCGACCATGCTGATAAAGTCCTTTTCCAGCGCCCGCAGCACACAGGCGTGGAAGTTGAAGTCATGGGGGAGGCCGTGGTTCTGAAAGGTGGTTGTTGATTGGGAGGTGAGGAAAAGGGTAAGGGAGGAGAGGCACAGAAATATGCTTTGCAGAGCATCGAAGCAGCAGTGCATCGCGTGCAGCACACAGGCGAGGAATTTGAAGTCCCGGGGGAGGCCGCGGTTCTGTGAGGCGGCTGTGGCGGTTGTTGATTCGGAGGGGAGGGAAAGCGACAAGGGAGGAGAGGCACAGAGAGATGTTTTGCAGTGCAACAGCAGCAGTGCAACCCAGCACACACGCATCAATGTTGAAGTCCCTGGGGAGGCCATGGTTCTGCAAAGTGGTGGTGGCGGTGGCGGCGGTGGTGGAGGTGGTGGTGGTGGTGGTGGTGGTGGTGGTGGTGGTGGTGGTGGTGGTGGTGGTGGTGGTGGTGGTGGTGGTGGTGGTGGTGGTGGTGGTGGTGGTGGTGGTGGTGGTGGTGGTGGTGGTGGTGGTGGTGGTGGTGGTGGTGGTGGTGGTGGTGGTGGTGGTGGTGGTTTGGCAGGAGGGGGAAGAGACACAGATCAGATTAAACAGTGACTCGGAGAAACAGCGCCTCACAGAAACAGCATCCCACAGAAACAGGGAGTTTCAGATCTCGGATTTTGAGATCAGGGATTCAGGATGAGTGCTTCTCACGTAGATGAATGCGAGGCGTAGCGTGGTGTAGTCGAGCTGCGTGATGGGCGACAGCATCTGCTGGGTGGCTGCTTTCTGGTGTGCGGTGGGTTGGGCTTTCAGACTTTTGGGTTTAGGGCTCGGGTTTTAGTGCTTCTCACATGGATAAAGGCAAGGCGCAGCGTGGTGTAGTCGAGCTGTGTGATGGGCGACAGTATCTGCTGGGTCACTGCTTTCTGGTGCGAGCAGGGGAGCAATCAAGAATGGGGTTTAGGGTTTGATTGATGAGATTGATGCCAGTATCTGCTGTGTCGTGGTTTTTTGGTGTTGGGTGGTGAGGGAGCAGGAGAGAGGGAGAGCGGGAGAGCTGGAGAGCAGGAGAGCAGGGAGGACAATGGGGCAGAACAGAGAGGGTCGACTGCCACACATGGTACAGGACAAGGGCCGACTGCACGGTGCTTATATGTAGCAGTGCGGTGTGGTGCGGTGTGGCGTGGTGGTATGGTGTGGTGTTGTTTGCTGTGGTATGGCATGGTTAGGTGTGGAATGGTGTGATGGAGCGATGCGGTGGTGTAGTGCGGTGGTGCGGTGCGGTGGTGCAGTGCGGTGGTGCGGTGCGGTGGTGCAGTGTGGTGGTGCAGTGCTGCGGTGCAGTGCTGCAGTGCAGTGCTGCAGTGCAGTGATGTGGAGTGGTGTGGAGTGGTGTGGTGCTGTGGTGGGTGGTGCAATGTGGTGCTGTGGTGGAGTGTGGTGGTGTGGTGTGGTGTGGTGTGGTGTGGCGTGGTATGGTGTGGTGCAGTGCGGTACAGTGTGGTGCAGTGCAGTCTTACATAGGTGAGGAGGAAGGAGTGCCAAGCAGACAGATGCCCACTTGCATCCACACGCGCTGTGCCCTCCTCCCCCTCCCCACCTTCCACCTCCTCTCCAACTTCTCCTTCCCCCTCCTTGTCTCCACCCCCAACCTCCCCCTCCCCTGCCCCTCCTTCCCCTCCGCTCCCTCCTCCTCCTCCTCCCCTTCCTCCACCTCCTCCACCTCCTCCCCCACCTCCATCTCCCGCTCCTCCTCCCACGGTCTTCCTACCCAACTGCCTGTTTTCTCCCGTTCCCTTATCACCTCCCTCTCTCCTCACCTTCCCTCTCTCCTCTTCTGCGATTCCCTCGCCCTCCCATTCCATCCCATCATCCTCCCCAGCCTCCCCACCGCTTTCAACCATTCCATCCGCCCATGCAACCACCTCATCATACTCATCAAGCTCGAATGCACCTTCATCACCCTCACTCTCATTACCCTCACTCCCTTCACCCTCACTCTCTTCATCCTCACCACCATAACCCTCACTACTAACGCCACCCTCACAATCACCACAGCTGCTACCATCTCTATTGCTCCTGCTGCCCCCCTTGGTGCTCGGAGTGAAGTGCACCTCCCGTTTCTTTATCAATCCCTCCTTCTGTGCTCCTGCCGCTGCAGCAGCAGGGGACTCGATAGACGCAGAAACAGACTCGGCAGGACCTGCCGCAGACGCAGCAGCAAAAACGGAAGAAGTAGAACGGGTAACAGAACCATACACTGCAGCAGTAGCAGCAGCAGCAGACGCAGGGGAAGGGCAAGAATTGCCCCCACCACCACCACCACCACCACCACCACCACCACCACCACCACCACCACCACCATAACTGGCAGCAGCAGAAGCTCCTCCAACTCTTTTTCCTCCTCCCCCACGCCCCCCTTCAGTCTTATCCAGAACCGGGGAGGGCGGTGTTTCCTTAGTCATATGAACGTAGGCTGTGGGGTGCCAGCTGCCTAGGAACGGAAAGAGCGAGGAGGAGGAGGAGCGGGGGGAGGGCGAGGAGGAGGAGGCGGGGGTTGGCAGCTCGTGGGTTTGGCTGGGGTACGTCGGGAGACGAGCAGTTGAGGGTTTGTTGCAGTGCGAGTCTGATCCGGATACGTGCTCCGGGGATTCACACACAGATGCGAGGGTTGTTTGAGACGTCTCGAAACCCAAGGGCCGCGGCAACGACTGGTTCAGGTGCTCCGGTAGGCCTTTTCTCCAAGACTGCCCGGTCTGCTCCTCTGAGTTCTTTTCCTTTGAGTGTGCATGTTTGACATGTCTTTGTGTTAAGTGCGATGACGCATGGTCGCCGTCCCAGGGCTCTGGTGACTGGTTCAATCGCCCAGACGAGGAGTCTCGTGCAGGGAAGGGGGCAGAATGCGGGAGGCGGAAAGAGGAGGAGAAGGACGGGAGGCGGGAGAGGAAGGACGAGGCGCCGCTGTCGTGTTGGGAGATGCTTCGGGAGCGCTGGGCGATGGAAGCGGTGGTGGAGGGAGTGAGGGGGCCCGAGCGGAAGAGGCGGGTGGAGTGGAAGATGGGACCGGAGAATGTGTGCAAGTGGGACACACGGCGTGAGGACGCATTGAAATCCGCCCCGTGGCGGCGCTGGAAGGCCGAGTCTTGGAGGGCGAGGGTCAGTTGACCTGCCATGGAGGGCGGAAGGGAGGAGAGGGGATTTGGGGATGGGGCGTGAGGATGCTGTGAAAGCTGCACCTTGGCGGTGCTGAAAGGCAGAGTTCTGCATGGCGAGGGTCAGCTGGCTGGAGTGCGTGCAAGGAGGGAGGAGAGGGGGTACGAGGATGAGGGGAGAGGATGCATCAAGAGAAGTAAGAGAAGTGCCGTGGCGGTGCTGAAAGGCAGAGTCCTGAAGGGCGAGGGCCAGCTGGCCTGGAGTGCGTGCATGAGGGGGGTGGTGGGGAGGGGGATGAGGGCGAAGAAGAAGGGTGAAAGAAGTGCCGTGTCGTGTTGGTGCTGGAAGGCCGAGTTGATACCCGTACCTGACACCCGTACCTGACACCCGTAACTGACACCCGTACCTGACACCCGTACCTGACACCCGTACCTGACACCCGTACCTGACACCCGTACCTGACACCCATACCTGATACCCATACCTGAAACAGGCACGGTTTCCATCTCAAGCGACTTTTTGAGTGCCTCCGCCTCCCAGCTTTTCCAGCGCATCACCTGAAAGAATGCTGCAATGTAGTTAGATAAACATGTGATTCATAACAACGATTCACGCATTACCATTCCCTAACTCAAAAAAGTGGTTGACGGAAAGTAGGGAAGGGGGGAGAGCAAGAGAGAGTGGGGCGGATACATATGAACTGTTTGAATGTTAATGGTGGTGCATGATGAAGACGATGAAGAGGTGTCCTTTTAATTAATTCATATGAACCCCTAGACTGATGAGTCGACTAAAGCACTAACCCGTCGGTGGGCAATTATGATGGTGATGCACGAGTAGAGGATGTGGCCCAGGGCGAGGAAGAAGATGAAGAGATGCAGTTGGTGCACTCCCGATGGCGACATGAAGGGCTCTTGACCCTGATGGGGACAAGGGTGAAGGGGAAGTGGGGGACGGGGGTTCGGGGAATGGGGGACAATTAATGCATGCAATGGCTCGGGGTGCGAGGGAAGATGAAGAGATGCACCTGGTGCACGCCTTATGGCAATCTGAAGAGCTCCTAGCCCTGGTGGGACAAGGTTGGGGAAACATGCAGGACTCATGGCATGTCATGACTCATTGCATGACTCATGGGATGGTGCATGGGGTAGCATGGCATGACGCATGGGGTGGCATGGCATGACTCATGAAAGGATTGGCATGATTCACGGGTGGAGTGGAATGGAATGGAATGACAATTTACCGATGGGCATGTGTTCTCTGAGCTGGACAACACCCTCCTGCTCATCTCATGATAGCCACTGTGGTGGTAACCACCATGGTGGAAACCATCATCGAATCCGCGCCGCCCGGATAGCAGCTGCCGCCCATCAGACAGTCCAAGGTGTGCAGTATTGCCGGCTGGTGCAGACTCGGAAGCGGGCGGTGCAGACTTGGAGGCGGGCGGCGCAGATGCAGAGGAGGAGGATGGGGGTTTGCATGGGATGAAGATGGTGGAGCGGGGGATGGTGATGCACCATTGGACTATGAGCGGGTCGATGAGAGCCAGCACAATGGAGATGAATCCCACCAGCATCAGCTCTGGATGAGCCAGGCGGGGGTACACAGATGGGGTGCAAGATGGGAGTGTGAATGAGTCGGACTATGAGTGGGTCGATGCGAGCCAGCACGATGGAGATGAATCCAACCAGCATCAGCTCTGCACGGTTGGAGGCGAATGGCAGGGGTTCAAAGGGATGTGAATGGGGGGGGTTGGGGAGGAGGTTGAAAGGGTTCTACTATGAGCGGGTCGATGAGCGCCAGCACGATGGAGATGAATCCCACCAGCATCAGCTCTGCATGGTTGATGGTTGGGGTTGAATGATAGGGGTTGAAAGGGATGGGGTGAGAGAGAGGAGATGGGGAAGAGGGGGTTGAATGGGTTCGACTGGGGGGGGTTCGACAAGAGAAATGCAGAGCTGAATTCTGATTCAAAAGACACCCTTGTCTGCACGGCTCCTCTCCGTCTTTTATGCTGCGCACCACCCCCACAAGAGCTGCTTTTGAGTCACCTGATAATTCCGAAGCGACAATGACACCCTGGCCTTTGACTGAAAAAAACACCTTGTCGGCCTACTCCTCACCATCTTTAATGCGGTGCCCCACCGTCACGAGAGCCGCTCGCTTCTTCCGAACCAAGAACTGCAGAGACACACAACGGGCATGTGCATCAGGAAGAGATGTAAGAGCACGTGTCATGGAACAGAAGAAAGGCGCATGGCATGGCAGGGAGCAAAATAAAAGAAGGTGCATGGCACGCAAGAGAGCAAAGGTGTATGGCATGGTATGGAAAAGAAGGATGGTGCATGGCATGGTACGGAGCTATGCAAGGGTGCATGGCACGAGGAACACGGCATATGACATGTAATGAGGCCATGTGGCATGGCAGTCAGTATACCCTTTATAAAGAAACGCAATGCTGATGCGTACGAGTGTGAATTCGCTGATGCACATGAAACACGCTGCTGAAAACTTTACTTCCCACTATCAAACCAGAAGATATGCACTCAACCATACGCCGCATTTTACCGCACTGAACCACTCACTCTGTGAATGAGATAAATAAGCCGTTCAAAAAGCAGCGACACGACGATAATAATCGCCGCCACAGTAGCAGTAAAGAAGGTCGGAGTGTACAGCATGGACGAGGACAGATCTACGCTCGACTCGCTGCTAGAGCTTGGGTTTGTTCCTGAACTTTCGCCTCCATTTCCCCCGCTTTCCCCCAGCAATCGGCTGCTCTCTCTAAGAAAACGACGGAGAAGCGTCACGCCGTCGACGCGCGGGAAAAACGGCGACTCAGGCGGCGAGTGGAAAGGCGAATGAGCGGCGAAGTTCGCCATTATGACGATGCTGGGTCGTGCCTCAGGAGGCCTCCGTTAAAAAGCACGCACTTCTTGAGTCGCGACGTACTCGCGGGATTCTGGACTGGTCGCCGTGGCGCGGCTGACGATGAGGCAAATACTGAAGTCGTTAATCCAATTGCAGCGGCTGAGGTAAATCAGTCAAGACGTAGGAGCGTCAGAGCAGAGGTGATGATCCTCAGATATGAACAGTTGAAATTCCCAAGGCTGCCCCTGTCTTGAAAACTAATCGACTAACTCAAATCAACTTGGCTCTGCTCTGTTCTCTGCTCTGTTGTTCTCTGCTCGTCTCTGCTCTTCTCTGATGATTACAACGCTGATACTGTGACGGCATTCCCAAAGCCTGCCATGAAACGATTTGTCGTCGGTTTTAGACTTGAACGAGTGGTGGTGAAGTGGTGTGTCAGAGAGGCCCACTGAAATCTCGGACGTGCACAGAATTGTCTGGACAGGTTCCGTGAGTACAGTACGTCAAAATGCGGCTAAATGAGGCTTGGTACGATCTGTAACGGCCTAATCAGTACTTCGAATGGTTGGGTAGGGTACCTTGCGAAAATGTGTTTTCTACACTCGGACTGCAGTTACAAGGTTTGGCTGCGTAAGGTTGGCGGCAGAATCGACGTGGGTTGAACACTTATCATTGATGTACAGCACAGATACACGATTCATGTACTGTACTGTACTTACACCTGAAGCTTATTACGTAGATGCACGCAAACTTAGCCTCCAAAGCGTATGAAGCGAGTACAAGCTTTTCGCCTGCCTCGCCAAATTCGCCACGGGAAAAAGTGGGACTGTAGTGGACAAGAGAAAAAATGCTGGTAACACTCTCAAAATATCTCCCGAAGGGACGGATGACAGCACCAGAGAAAAGGGTCCAGAATCGTAGCAAATCGTAACGAGATTGTTTTCAACTGTTCTGAACTCCACCTTCTCTCAGTATAATGTTGGGGCAAATTTTTCCAGCACAAATCTTTTGAGTTTTGAGTCGACTCAAATCTCCAGCACAAATCTCTGTCCATCCATCCATGTCCGTCCATCAGGCGTAATACGCATCACACCTACTCTCGTACTTGTTCTAACTGTTTCGCAAGCCTAGAATCCTGTCACAAGAATCCCGCACTTCCATCGCCATGGCAGGCGGCGACATGCTTCCACTCCCGCCGCATTTCCACCCGCTTCAGGAGCTCTGGCCGTCGCTCTTCACCCCCTCCGCGCTCTCGCTGCCATCGCAGCAGCTCGCCGAGTCCCTTTTCGACGTCGCAGGCTTCGCCGTCTTCGCGACGCTCTACGCGTTCGCGATCTCGTTCGTCTTCCCATGCCCCCCGCATCAGCCACTCCTGCTAGGAAAAATGTCTCTGCAAATGAGAAGGTGCGTAGCTTGTCATCACTACGACTAATCCCCACTAATCCCCATTGAGGGACCTCTCAAAAGCCAGACGCTCATGCTAGGCAAACTGTCCCCGATAATGAATCATCACCCACGACATTAAAGGGACCCGGGTTCCTCTTTTCCAAGGCGCCTGAGAAACATTCTCATACTGATTCCCCTTCGTCCCAGGTACATCAATTTCGCAGGGGTGATGGGAGTGCTCTGGCCGCTCGCCCTGATAGCATCCGGTTACTACCTCCGCAGCGCCTCAGGAACAGTCTTTTACTGTCTCCCATTGCTCCCAGATACATCAATTTCGCAGGAGTGATGGGAGTGCTGTGGCCGCTCGCCCTAATAGCATCCGGTTACCACCTCCGCAGCGCCTCAGGAACAGTCTTTTACTGTCTCCCATTGCTCCCAGATACATTAATTTCGCAGGAGTGATGGGAGTGCTGTGGCCGCTCGCCCTAATAGCGTCCGGTTACTACCTGCGAAAGAGCATCCCTGAATTCACGTGGGCTCTCTCACTCGTCCTCCCTGACATGCTGCTGCTCGTCATCCAGGTGCGTATCTGTCTGTGTCTGCCTGTGTGAGGCTGTGTGCGCGTGTGTGGGAATGTCTGCAGTTGTCTAGAACATTCAAGTTCTTCCTCCACTAGGCCATCCCCGAATTCACCTGGGCTCTCTCCCTCGTCCTCTCTGATATGCTGCTGCTCGTCATCCAGGTGCGTATCTGTCTGTGTCTGTGTCTGCCTGTGTGAGGCTGTGTGCGCGTGTGTGGGAATGTCTGCAGTTGTCTAGAACATTCAAGTTCTTCCTCCGCTAGGCCATCCCCGAATTCACCTGGGCTCTCTCCCTCGTCCTCTCTGGTATGCTGCTGCTCGTCATCCAGGTGCGTATCTGTCTGTGTCTGCCTGCCTGTGTGAGGCTGTGTGCGCGTGTGTGGGAATGTCTGCAGTTGTCTAGAACATTCAAGTTCTTCCTCCGCTAGGCCATCCCCGAATTCACCTGGGCTCTCTCCCTCGTCCTCCCTGATATGCTGCTACTCGTCATTCAGGTGCGTATCTGTCTGTGTCTGCCTGCCTGTGTGAGGCTGTGTGCGCGTGTGTGGGAATGTCTGCAGTTGTCTAGAACATTCAAGTTCTTCCTCCACTAGGCCATCCCCGAATTCACCTGGGCTCTCTCCCTCGTCCTCCCTGATAGGCTGCTGCTCGTCATCCAGGTGCGTATGAGGGTGTGTGAGGGAGTGTCAGTGGGTGTGTGCAGTTATGAGTGCTCTGGCCGCTCGCCCTGGTAGAATCCGGGTACTTTCTCCGGAAGAACATCCCTCCGCAGCCCACCTGTTCACTTTCGACAGCTACTTTCTCCAGAAGAACATCCCTTGTCCTCCCTGACATGCTGCTGCTCGTCATCCAGGTGTGTGCAGGTGGGGGGGGGGAAAGTGGGGGGGTGTGGGGGGGGGGGGGGGGGGGGTCAGGTTGGGGGGAGGGTGTATGCGTGTGTGTTGCCAGATATGAGTTGCCGGATATGAATGGGAGAGAGAAGTCGTAGGAATTTCAGTTCCCATCTCTTTGCATGTACTTCGTGTAGGTTCTCTCCCTTCCCCTTCCTGACGTCTCATGGCTTATCATCGTCCACACATGATTTGACTCCTTTTCCATGATGCTGCAGAGTGTTTTTGAGAATTCTCAAAAACACTCTGCAGCATCATGATTTGACTCCCTTTCTAGTCGTGAGGGAGTTGCTTTCAAGAATTCTCGAAAGCTTCTCCTCCCTGACGTCTCACCGCTCATCATTCAGAGACATGATTGATTGATTCTGTTTGTTTTTCTAGCTATGACTCTGAATGATTCAATGCCCTTGCTTTCCACTTTGTCCTTTTCTTATTGTTGGGTTTATTCTTGTCTTTTTGGAGCCATCAGATCATCTCAGAGGGAGTCACCGTGGTGACAAAGCAATCACTACCAGTCAAGTAAGTTCACTGCAAGCAGCTCGCCTCAACCAAGCTCCCTCCCTTCCTCTTCTTGCACCCATGCCCTTGCTTCCGAGCCATCAGATCATCTCAGAAAATGTCACCAGGGCGACAAAGCAGTCATTACCGGTCAAGTAAGTTCAATGCAAGCAGCTCGCCCAAGCTCCCTCCCTTCCTGCTTCTGTCCTTCAGACCCACAGTTTCCCTCTTGTTTCCTGCCTTCACAATTGTTCCCACCACAGCACTCTTCCCCAATCACTCATCTTTCCTCTTACCCATCCTCACATCCCCTCTCTAATGCTCGGCGCATGCTCTCACTTTACAAGTGCCTCACCCTTCCTCCTCGTGTGATGAGTCGATTTTTGAGTCGACTCAAAACTCGGCGCATGCTCTCACTTTACAAGTGCCTCACCCTTCCTCCTCGTGTGATGAGTCGATTTTTGAGTCGACTCAAAACTCGGCGCATGCTCTCACTTTACAAGTGCCTCACCCTTCCTCCTCTTTTCCCTTTCCCGTCTCTCGCCACCTCCTCTCTCGCTCTCCCTGGCCCCCTCTCTCTCTTTGGCAAGAGCTCTTGTTCCCCCACTCTACAACGCCCAGCGCACGTTCTCTCTCTCTACAAGTGGCTCACGCACTCTGCTGCTGCCTTCACTCACTTTCTCTCTTCTCCCTTACCCCCTTCTCCTTCCCATATCCAACCCCCAACATATTCCGCCTGCAGAGCTCTCGTCCCTCCCCTCTACAACGCCCGGCGCATGTTCTCTCTCTACAAGTGGCTCACTCATTCCGCTGCTGCTGTGCTCCCTCTCATCCTTTCAAGCACTGCAAGGGCGGGCAGTGGCAGCGTGTGGCGCCTGGTGTGGCTGGGAGCGCTGGTAGCATGTGCAGGTGCGTTGGCTGTGCTGCGATGGGTGTTCACTTGTGTGTTTATGGTACTGGGAGCAAGCACTGAAAGGGTAGGCAAGTGCAGCGTGTGGCACCTGGTGTGGCTGGGAGCGCTGGTAGCGTGTGCAGGTGCGTTGCCTGTGCTCCGATGGGTGTTCACTTGTGTGTTTATGGAACTGGGAGCAAGCACTGCGAGGGCGGGCAGTGGCAGTGTGTGGCGCCTGGTGTGGCTGGGGACGCTGGTAGCGTGTGCAGGTGCGTTAACTGTGGCGGTGAGAAGGGTGTGACTGGTTCGTTTCTGGTGCTGGGAGCAAGCACAGCAAGGGCGGGCAGCTGTTGTGTCGTGCCTACAAGCCCTGCCTCTCTGCCCACATACCCTCTTCACCCATGCCCTCTTGTGCAGGCAGCTGTGAACAAATTTCTGTGGGGTGGGTGGGCGTACGTGCTCTGCTGCCTGCTTGCCCTGCTGTGTGTGATAAGTCGAGTTTTGAGTCGACTCAAAACTCGACTTATCACACACGGCTTTTGAGTCGACTCAAAACTCGACTTATCACACACGGCTTTTGAGTCGACTCAAAACTCAAATTTCTGTGGGGTGGGCGTACGTGCTCTGCTTCCTGCTTGCCTGTCGTCGTGCCTCACACCTATCTGCGTGTCCTTCTTGTGTCTCTTTCTCTCTCCAAACCCCTCCCCCACCCCTCCGCACCCACCACCCTGCTCCCTTCCCCCAACCCCCCATTCTCACCCCAGCGGTGAATTACCTGTTGTGGGCCCACAACGTGTTCTGCTTCCTGCTGCCCACCGTCGTGCCTCACACAAACCTACCCACGTGCTCGTGTCTCCCTCTTCCCCCCCTTCCTCTCCCCCCTCACCCCAGTGGTGAACTATCTCTTGTGGGCCTACAACGTGTTCTGCTTCCTGCTGCCCGCCGTCGTGCCTACTGCCTCAATGAGCCCTATGCCCCACACCCTCAACCCCTCCCCACACCCTCAACCCCTCCTCACACCACACCCTCTCCTCGCCTCCCCTCCTTTCCCCACTCAGCGGTGAACTACCTTCTGTGAGCATACAACATATCTGCTTCCTGCTGCCCACCGTCGTGCCTCGCACCTATCTGTGTGTCCTGCTTGTGTTTCCCTCTCTCCAAACCCATCCGCCCACTCTTCTCCCCATCCGCCCTCCTCTACGCAGCTGTGAACTACCTGCTGTGGGCGTACAACATCTTCTGCTTCCTGCTGCCCACCGTCGTGCCTCGCACCTATCTGTGTGTCCTGCTTGTGTTTCCCTCTCTCCAAACCCCTCCCCCCACCCTTCTCCCCATCCGCCCTCCTCTACGCAGCTGTGAACTACCTGCTGTGGGCGTACAACATCTTCTGCTTCCTGCTGCCCACCGTTGTGCCTCACAGACACCTATCCATTTTGCTTGCTCCTGTCTCCCTCTCCCCCTCACCTCCTCTCCTCCAACTCCCAGCTGTGAACTACCTGCTGTGGGCGTACAACATCTTCTGCTTCCTGCTGCCCACCGTTGTGCCTCACAGACACCTATCCACTTGCTCCTGTCCCCTCTCCCCCTCACCTCCTCTCCTCCAACTCCCAGCTGTGAATTACCTGCTGTGGGCGTACAACATCTTCTGCTTCCTGCTGCCCACCGTCGTGCCTCGCATCTTCGAGCAGGACATTACATCGCGCGCAGCGGCTAGTGGCACAGATAGAGTGGAAGCAGTGGGTGGTAGCAGCGGTGGTAAAGGAAAGAAAGGTGGAAAGAGTCTCTAGAAGCTCTGGATGTACCGTAAGACTACGGTTATTGAGTTGCTTAGGATATAAGGTGTACAGTACTTATAAAGCTTGTAAGGTAAATGCCTAAAGTGGTGTGGGAGACAGTACTTGCACGCAACACTGCCGCAAGTGTAACAGCAAGCTTCCTCCCAGCTCCAGTTTCGTACCCAGGGTGGCATAATTGCTTCCCTACCAATTTCTATGTAGAGCAAAAAAAAAGTTTTTTACTGTACACTGCGAGCTTGTACAATGTCTTGGTTTTTATGTAGAGCAAAAAGGAGTTATGTACATTGCATTGCCCAGCTTGTACAATTTCTGTCTGAACAGGGTAGGTACGGTACCGTACATACAAATCCACTCTACTCCATCTCGCCCCCCCCTCCACTCCATTACAATCCACCCCACTCCATTACAGTCCACACATTCTACACTCCCTCCCCCTACGGCCCTGAGACCCTGGGCCTGAGACCCAGGACCAACTCAAGCCCCACCATCCCCCTTCCCCTTTCCAGGGGACAGGATCACATACTCCCCCTCCCTAGTGCCCCGCAGCTTCTCCGCCAAAGCTTCATCCACGTTAAAAGCAGCCTTCAGTACAGCGGTAGGCAGTGCACTGTAGACTGAGTTACCGCCAGCTAGAAAACCAGGCTTGGGTTTGGACTTGGGGGAGAGAGCGACGTACTCTAAGCCCTCCCCTGAAGCTTCCTGTTATGGGAGGACAGAGCAGAAAAGGAGTGGGAGGCGGGATGAAGAGGGGGGAAGAAGGGTGGAGGCATGCTAGGGTGATGCGTTACTCTTTCAACACATAACAATATGAGCGAAAACAGTTTTGAGTCGACTCAAAACGAAAGCACAGTGGAGGCATGTTAGGGTGATGTGTGACTCTGCCAACGCGTTACTCACAACAACATGGGCGGAAACAACGACACATCTCTCACTGCCACTACTCCTCACACGACAAGAGCGTTACCATCTTACCGTCACTGCGTTACTCACAACAGCATGAGCGAAAGCAGCCGGTACAACCACCACATCTCCCGCGTTCACACGCTTCCTCAGCGCCTTCCTGCCGTCCGGATAGGCTATCTCAAACCGCCCACTGCCACGTGTCACAAAGTGGACGGCTGCTGAGTTGGACAGCCAACGAGGAGCCGCCATCGCATTGGGCTGAGGGAAGGAGGAGGGAGGGAGGGGGGAAACAAGGGAAGGAAGTTGTTATCAATCAAACAATTATGGGGAAAAACAAGTGGAATTTTTAGAAAAGAAAGCATTGCCACATACTAACCCTTCAGACACAGCACGAACTGTCTCTCTTTCCCCCTCCTTTCATACCCTCCATTACTCACCAGGAGATCTATGCGAGCAGCAGAAACGCCCAGGTGTTGAAACACAGGCAGCTTAAATCCATCAGCAGTAGTCAACGTGCCGCCCCCGGGCGTCTCGATACTAGCCTGCTCCTCTATAAGGTTGTACACGAAATCCCCAAACGCTACAGTGCCTTCTGAGTTATCAGTGGCAGACGCAGCTGAGGTGCCTTCATCAGCATCAGGATCACCAGATACGACCTTCCCCGGGTCGACCTTCGCAATGGCTATATCCTTCTGCCCCTGAAGCAGCTGTGCCACGTCTGCTTCCTTCACGCCCCATGCCTTCGCCAGCACTCGGTGGCTGTGCGGTGGGGAGGCAAAAGGGAAGAGGAGGGAGAACGAGCAGTGGAGGATGAAGGAAAGCAGCAGCTATGTCATGTCTTCTTCCTACCACCTGACATCTACCTGAGCCCACCTGAATTTACCTGAGCGCACCTGAAATCCACCTGAGCGCACCTGAAATCCACCTGAGCGCACCTGAAATCCACCTGAGCGCACCTGAAGCCATGGAGAATGCCGCCAAACTTCTCCTTCTGAGCGCCCACCAGGCTGAACGCCGTGTACCGCCCACGGTGGGCCTCCTTGGACGTATCTGGCATGTAGGGGGGTTAGATTGGCAGGTACAGTCGACATTCACAATGAAGTTTTCAAAAAGACAGGTCAGCAGTTCAACGCAGGTCAGCAAATCAGTCACGACATGTCAGCACATAGAAAAGACACGTCAGCATACCAGCAATGGATATGATTCGCAGAGGCTCCTTGCCATCGTTCCAGATCCACCTGCCCCAGCCTCGTGGGAACGCAAATGCATCGCCTTTGCGAAGCCTCCTGTAAAGGGTACACAGACATATGTATAAGAAAGGAAAGTACAAAACAGTAGAACGTGGTATCATGTACTTCATTTTTTCATCACATGTAGGACATCACGTCACGTCACAGCACAGTACACATCAGCGCACATCACACCACACCACATCTGCTCACGCACCTCACATTGGTGCGAATCCCCTCCGGGCTGATAAGCCCTGCCCGAGCTTCGCCCTCCACCACATAGGACACCTGTTGCAGAGAAATGGGCATGCACGGAAACTAAACTTCATGCATGGAAAGCAGGAAATACCATGCACGGTAACCAATGTTAAACATGCATGGTATGTATGCATGTGCAACTTGGTATGTCATGCATGGTATGTATGCATGTGCAACTTGGTATGTCATGCATGGTATGTATGCATGTGCAACTTAGTATGTCATGCATGATATACCTGGAGTACAGTACATGCGAAGAGCCATAGAATTTGGCTGTGCTTGTGAGTGACTCACGAATGGGCAGAACATGGGCGAAACTTGGAACGGCAAAGGGTGCCAACATACCTCCTCGGAACGGTAAAGGTTGCCAACATACCTCCTCGGAACGGTAAAGGTTGTCAACATACCTCCTCGGAACGGTAAAGGTTGCCAACACACCTCCTCGGAACGGTAGAGGTTGCCAACATACCTCTTCGGAACGGCAAAGGTTGCCAACATACCTCCTCATCATTGGAATACATGGGAAGAGCCATGGACTCAGGTTCGATCGTCATCACAGCCGCGCTGACATCTGCGTCCTGCCATGGGCAGTGGTTGTGGTTGTGGTTAAAGATAACAGCATCACACCTCTTCATCATTGGAATACATGGGCAGGGCCATGGACTGTGGCTCTATTGTCATCACAGCCGCGCTGACATCCGCGTCCTGCCATGGGCAGTGGTTGATTGGAGGCAGGGGGTTATGTGACTAAAACTAGGGGGGGAACTCATCACAAGAACAGCACAGTGGGTAGGGAGTCAACCAAAAGGCGCTGACGCCCAGTCCTGCCATCACTGGTTGTGGCTGGTCGAAAGCAAGGGAGGGAGTTGTATGAGAACAGCACAGCACTGCAGGACGGTGGTAACCACCAGCACAGCCGCGCTCACTTACAGTGGTTTCAGCCCAGGTTCTCAGCCAGGCTCCGATCCGCCCTGCAGTAGCTACCTTCACCTGCGGCCTCCTTGCAAGAAACTCTCTCTGGCCTTGTCCTTCCTTGTCCATCCCGCATTACACCCCCTCACCCTCACAGCACATACATATGCACCCACCCACACACAAACACACCTCCAGTCGTTTCAGCCCAGCGCCCCAGACTTCAATCCGTCCTCCACCGGTTGCCACCTCCACCTGTGGTCTCCCTGCAAGAAACTCCCTAGCCTTGTCCGCCCCTCCCCCATCCTCCTCAGCGTTCCTTCCCAGACCTTGCCCGAGCTTTGTTCCCAGGCTCGACATCAGAGGCCCGACGCCCAGCCAGCGCCAGCCTTGGTGAAGCCGAGCTGCAGCACCAACGGAAAGCCAACCCAGAGGCTCAGGTTCGGCGACAGGCGTGGTAAGCTCTGGTTCGGCAGCAGGTGTGGTGGTAGACTCAGGTTCGGCAGCAGGTGTGGTGGTAGACTCAGGTTCGGCAGCAGGTGACATGGCATGAGCGGTAAGCATGGGAGAAGGGGAGGGTAGTGGAGGAAGGAGGAGGAGGAGGCAGAGGAGGGAGAGGAGGAGGGCGGAGGTAGGGAGTAGTAGCAGCGGTGGGAGCTTGAAGGGAGAGAGGCGAAGCAGCGCCATGGTTGCTTATAGCAATCGCCCAAAGGTATCAAGGTAGGAAGATTACCAGCTTGAATTTCGTTTCGCTCGGGAGGAAACCACGTGAGTGAGAATACAACGCCGCTGGAAATTTTCTGTATACGGGAAAGGAGAGAAGCAGAAGCACCGTAGGAACGAACCGAGCTGGAGGACCGAGACACGCCAGAGGAGTGCGGGTGGAGCTGACGGAATGAGCAGCAGCGAGAGGGGTAGGAGTGCTGAAATTGAGGGCGAGAGAAAAGCGAGAGGGAGGAGAAAGCGGAGGGGTGGGAGAAGAGGAGGAGGAGGAGGAGAGCGCGGTTGGAGGAATCAGCAGCAGAAACATCATCCCTGGCATGGCGGCGCGAGAAGCCAGAATGGGAATGGCGACGCGAGATGCCAGAAAGGGAGAAATCGACTCCATCGTTTCCTTCCATCCTTTCGGAATTTGCATGGGCACCGGGGGTCTGCATGCATGTCGAGAGCGCGTCAACTAAGCATGTCAAGACGTGAGATGCATCAAGGCGTCTCGAGGCGTGCTGAGGGGTGTCGAGGCATCTCCTGCCCTGTTGAAGAATGTCCAATGTCCAGTTGGCGCGCCGTGCCATGTCAGCAAGCTTTCAAGACCGTCAACATGAGGTGACTTGCTCTGAAGGTCGCTGACTGCTGATAATGGGAAAACACATACTGTATTGTCCGAGACATGAAATCTTGCACATCCGTAGTTCCTGAGATCCGACGGATTATACGCCTCGGACCAAAGCCCTAATTCGAAAAACGAGACGTATTCGGTGTGTAGATATTGCGACGTTTTACATTCCCGCAACTGGTCATGTGAATCTTACACAATCATATTCCTCTCGCAATGTGCGAGGAAGTAATGAGCCCAGTCGCGTGACAGATCTCCGAATAGTTGCAGGGTATATGCACTCGATATTGCAACATCGCCCTTCACCACCTAGAGCTAATACGTTTTCACATTATATTTCACAGTAAAGAAGCCAATGGAAGTTTCCAGAAACTCTTGCACTATTGGCAAGACTGTACAAGAACACAAGCTATTTCACAGCCCACCCCCAAATGCTACGCTTCAGCCCACTCAAGCTACCAAAAACATCTCGTCCGCCTTGGAAGTTAGCCGAAAGGTTTCGAGGTTAGGGCCTCTCCCAAACTTCGAAGCCCGTTCTGCTAGACTCAAAAGCGACTCTGACCGCAAAACTCGCTCTGAAGGCGCTTAGAACCCATAGGGAGTGTCGATGATGCTGAAATCAACGTCCACGTCCTCATCCTCCGCAGAGAACGCCCTGGGCTTGGGCTGGTGGCCCTTGGGCGGCAGGATGACGTACTCGTGCTGGCGGGTGCTGCGCAACTTCTCGATCAGCTTCTCGTCCGCGTTAAAAGCCGCCTGCTGGATGGCGCGCGGCAGGAAGCGGTAGACGGAGTTGGCCCCCGCGAGGAAGCCCACCTGCGGGCGCGACTTGGTGATGAGCGCGATGTACTCGATGCCGTTGCCCGAGGCGAGCTGGGGGGGGTGGGGCGGCGGGGGGGAAGAAACGGGGGGAGCGAACAAGAGCGGTAGACGGAGTTGACCCCCGCGAGGAAGCCGAACTGCGGGCGCGACTTGGTGATGAGCGCGATGGATGAGCTGGTGTGGGAACGATTGGGGGGCACAAAATCAATACTAGCGGGAGGAGCGATGGGAGCGTGGGCGCAAATCACAATAGCATGATAAAGCGTGACGCAATAGGATGGTATAGAATCTTTCGAGCAAAAAACGGAATTACCGTGGCGTGCGGGAGGCCGGGCGGGATGACGATCAGCTCGCCCTGCTTCACGTCGCGCCGCACCGCGGTGCGCCCATCGGAGTGGGTCATCTCGAACCGCCCCTGCCCGTTCAGCACGTAGATCAGCGCCGCGCTGTTAGCCAGCCAATGCGGCGCCGCAAGCGCGTTCTGCTCCAGCTCGAATCGCGCAGCCGAGAACCCAACCTTGCGGAACATCGGAAGCTTCCAGCCACTCGCCCAGGTCACGCGGCCCGCGCCCTCGCGCTCAATATCCGCCTCGTTCTCAATCAAATTGTACGAGAAGTCGCCGAAGATGTTCTCCCCGGAGCGCGCATTGAGAGCGTCGATCGCGGCGTTAAGTGCGTCGACCTGGCTCCTCTGTTGGACCTTCACAAAGGCGGTTTCCTTCTGCCCCTGCAGCAGCTGCTTCACGTCGTTCTCCTCCACGTTCCACGCGCGTGCGAGCAGATCGGAGCTGAAAATGGGGCGGGGTAAGTGAGGATACAAGGTTAAAAGGTGCAGAGCCACTGATAGGGGTAGGTAGCGCGAGACAGAAAAAAAAACGCACAACCGCAAACGAGCGAAACCGTCACATGATTTCTTCAGTCGCACCTGAAGCCGTGCAGGATACCACCGCTCTGCTCCTTCTGCGCGCCGATGAGGTGGAACGACGTGTACTGGCCGCGCTGCGGGCCCTTGGAGGTGTCGGCCATGGCGACCGCGCGGAACGGCTGGTTGCCGCTGTTCCACGCCCAGTGAGCCCACCCGCGCGGGTGGATGTACGCGTCGCCCTTGCGCAGCCGGCGCATGTTGGTGGGCATGCCGAGCGGGGTGACGAGCCCGACGCACGCCTCGCCCTCCACCACGTAGTTGATCTTCGCCGAGTCGGTGTAGTGCGGCAGCGCCAGGGACTGGCTCTCGATGGTCACGAGAGCAGCGCCGATGTCCGCATCCTGACAAACCCAAGGGTGAACAGTTACAGAAACGTGATCGAAGAACGGCGAAATTCAAATGAGGTTGTGAAAAGCGTGGAATAAAACGGAAGGGAAATCGCAGAAACAGAAAGTAAACAAAGACCGTACCTGAAGCTGCTTGAAGTCGGGGCTCCACACTTCCACGCGTCCGCCGCTGCTCCTGAACGCCTCCTGGGGCTGCCCGGGGATGAACTCCTTCTCGTCGTTGGCGGGGGAGCCATAGCGCGCCGAGGCGCACCCCACCAGGCAGAACGCGAGCAACGCTAGCACCAACGCGCGACCCATGACGACAGCTCGCTGGCACGAGGTTCCGAATCGAGGGATCGAGTACAGGCTTGCCAAGAAACGCGCAAGGCGAGGGGAGAGAGCGAGAGAGCCGGAAGACGGGACCGGAAGAAAGCTCAAAGAACCGCACACACTGAAGATGAGGAAGCACGCTCGACTTATATAGATGCACCGTGGGGGCGAGGCGGCTGGAGCGCAGGGGGTAAGCTGCAACGAGCGTTGATGGCTAGCTGCTGGGAGCGCTGGGAACAAGTTGCGATGGAAGCTGCTGCGCTGCGTTACGCGCCCACTTGTTCGAACGGAGCGCGCTCTCATCCCCTCGAGCCGCCTCGAAAGTGGCGGAGGAGTAATTCTTCTTTGTACGCTCTACATGGCGGCTCGCAACGACTCGGGAATCCATCCAGCACGAAACATCACTTGACGCCTGATGGTAGAGCGGTGCACACATGGCCTAGTGCCTGCCCAGTGTTGCACATGGCATAGGATGGCATGGCATTCCATGGTGCCTGCTACCGCACCATCGCATGGCATTGACCCTGATAACCGCGGTGCATGCAACTTTCCGTGATTTTCCACTTGTTGCGCGCATGCTGCAAGTCTAGATCGCCATGTGACGGAGAGCTATGTGTCTTACTTTCGTTCGCGACCATGGTCTTCATGACGAACGATGGAGCCACTGCAATTCGTTACACGAGTGGAAGTTAGAGATAGTGCTTCCGAAGGGTGAGGCAGACGGGTATTACGAGGACGGGTGTTCCGAGGTAGACGGCAGCGCGCTTTCTGTCTGATGGAACAGGTGTGGATCTCTGAACTGAAGGCATACACCATGCAACGGTCCTCCTAGGTATCCTGTTTCCTAAAAGGCCCCTAAACGACAGCCACGTCCTGCTTGTTTTGAATGTTGTCGAAACCTCGTTGTGGCGAACGCTCACAGATGGATAGACGGATAACTCGAAGCCCACGACAATTCTGGACCTGCAATCTGGGTAAGGGGCGACCGCATCAGTCCATGCAATGCAATACGTGCAGGCCGCACGAGCATAATCCTGTGCATATTTCTAGGCATGTGAGGTGAGGGCGATGCAGTTGGAATTTCTCCTGCTGAGAATGCGCGATTCGACTCCTTCGTCAATCTTCGCCTAAATTAATGATCTCATGCCGATAACGTGCTTGCGTGGACTGGATGTCAGAGGCAGCGGTTGCAACTTATTGGCCGCCGAGTGCGAAGACCGCCGAGTGCGAAGACCGCCGAGTGCGGGTCATTGACCTACCTGCAGTTGGCGCGCGATAGGCCATAACTCTTTCACTACAATATTACCAATTTTGGAAGGTAATATGAGATCATGTGGTTGTAAAACACGAAATATTGTACAGAAGTGTCATATTTGCAAAGATTCTCATTGCCGGTTAAAACTACATAAGTTGTCGAAGGGCTAACAATACAGAAAATACAACTTTTCTACCTAAACGTGTCAGGACAGGTTGAAACAAAGCCATTTTGAAGAACCTTCAAGTATCAATCACATCACTCTAGCATAGGAGCCTCAAACCAAGCATGTTGTATTTGAACTTTCAACTCCACATGCTTCAGTTCAGTCACACCTGTCAACATTCTCGTTACTAGTGACATGGGATGGGGATGGAGAAACACATGCAGAAGGAAAATGGGCCAACTAAATCCAGAACATTTGGTTGGGAAACAACCAAGAAGCATCTTCCACGAGTGCGTATACCATGAAAAATAAAGGCTACTATTTGTTCTTTATTTATTTATTCAGTCCACTTTCCTCTCGCACTCACAAGGTGTGCTGGGCCACAATCACAAACAAAAAGCCCCCACTCAGTGCAAGCGCGGTCGGCCTCTCTTCCGAGGCCTCTCCATCTGCCACACGTGGTGTTTGCGGGGTGATGGGAGATGCGGGATGGAAGATAGAGATGGAAATGGAAGATGGGGGGTGCGATGGAAGCCGACATCGGAAATGGGGGATGGGGGAGTGGGCGGTGAGAGATGGCCTCAGAAAGGTCTCGGGAAGTTAAAGCGGCCTTTAAACCCTGAACCCTGAACCATCCCTCAACTTGTTGATCGAACTTACCATTGCAGCACCAGCCTCCTCCCCCACATACTCCACCTCCACGTCCTCCTCTTCCTCCTCATCCCCCCCTGCTCCCCCTGCTCTCCAGATATACCCTTTTCAAGACACCTGAATTTGATCAGCACACTCACCATTTCCATTGCGGCACCGGCGTCCTCCCCCACATATTCCACCTCCACCTCCTCTTCCTCCTCATCACCCCCTGCTCCCTCCACCACAGCAGCAAGCGACGCGCCCTTGACCTTGACGAGGTGCCAGAGGTGGCCCTGAGTGTCATACACCATTGATGGACGCAGCTCCCACGGCCGCACCTGCTTCTGCCCCATCTCCCCGTACCCTAGCCAAGGGGAGAAGGGGGGGCGGGGAAGAGGAGCAGGGGGAGAGCAGGGGGAGAAGCAGCGGCAAGGGGAAGGGTTGGGAGCAGGAAGGGGAGAGAGGGAAGAGAGGAGTGGCAGTAAGCAGCAAGCGACGCGCCCCTGATCTTGACGTGGTGCCAGAGGTGGCCCTGTGTGTCATACACCATTGACGGGCGTAATTCCCACGGCCGCACCTGCTTCTGCCCCATCTCCCTGTACCCTAGCCAAGGGGAGAAGGGGGGGGCGGGGAAGAGGAGCAGGGGGAGGAGCAGGGGGAGAGCAGGGGGAGAAGCAGCGGCAACGGGAAGGGTTGGGAGCAGGAAGGGGAGAGAGGGAAGAGAGGAGTGGCAGTAAGCAGCAAGCGACGCGCCCCTGATCTTGACGAGGTGCCAGAGGTGGCCCTGTGTGTCATACACCATTGACGGGCGTAACCCCCACGGCCGCACCTGCTTCTGCCCCATCTCCCCGTACCCTGGCACCACAGAAGAGAGGGGAAGGCGGGAGTGAAGGGGGGCATGGCGACTGACCGTCAAAGGTGAGCAAGCAGCAGCTCAATGGGGGGGGTGGAGCAACATGGAGTTTCCACATGGCGACATGTCCTTTGAAAGGATAAAGAATACTCTTGAGCTGTGGATTATGGCGCCTAAACAATAGAGATGTGGACATGGCGACTGACTAACCTACAGAAAAGTGTGGAGGAAAGTACCTGGAAACTCCACAGTGAAGCCTGTGATTTTGGGTCCCTGTGCGTCCACTGCCGTGACGACCCCCTCCCACCACCTGTGTTGCCGCGAGGGGGATAAGGGGAGAGGGGGAAGTGAAATGAGAGGTGGAGGGGAAGAGAGCGAGAGGGGTTGAGAGGGGAAGATAGAGAGTGGGAGAGGAAAGATAGAGAGGGGGTGAGGGGAAGGGAGCGAGAAAGACCACATGCGTTGACCCTCACCCCCACAGCCCACACCCTCCCCCTCATGACAGCTCTGCGCCGCTATGTACAAATTCTACGCATAAATCAAAAGTTAATCACCCCGCCACTCACCCGTCATCCACCCACGCATCGACTCTGTCCCCCACAGCCCACACGCGCCCCATCGCCACCCGCCGGCGCCTCCCCCTCTCCCTCCCCGGCCGCAGCCGCCTCTCCAGCTGCGCGCCCTTCCTCACGCGTTTAGAATATAGGGTTGACTCAGAAAGAACTCACCCGTCGTCCACCCATGCGTCGACTCTGTCCCCCACGGCCCACACGCGCCCCATCGCCACCCTCCGCCGCCTCCCCCTCTCCCTCCCGGGCCTCAGCCGCCTCTCCGGCTGCGCGCCCTTCCTCTGGGGAGCTGTCGGCACGCCAGAGACGAAGCGAGAGGAGTCGCTTGCAGAGGGGGAGGGCGGGACCAGCCCCACCCACTCCTCCAACTGGTGGGTGCCTGGTTTGGGAAGAATGAAGGAAAAAAGGTAGGGGGGAATAGGAAGAGGAGCGCAGAGGTTGGGCCAGGTGAAAAAAGGGGCCTTAGCCGCCTCTCAGCCGCCTCTCAGCCGCCTCTCAGCCGCCTCTCAGACGCCTCTCAGCCGCCTCTCAGCCGCCTCTCAGACGCCTCTCAGACGCCTCTCAGACACCTCTCAGACGCCTCTCAGACGCCTCTCAGACGCCTCTCAGCCGCCTCTCAGCCGCCTCTCAGACGCCTCTCAGCCGCCTCTCAGACGCCTCTCAGCCGCCTCTCAGGCACCTCTCCGGCTGCGCGCCCTTCCTCTGGGGGGCCGAAGGTACGCAGAGACGAAGCGGGAAGCGTCACTTGCAGCAGGCGAGGGCAGGACCAGCCCCACCCACTCCTCCAACTGGTGGGTGCCTGAAGAGGGGGAGGAGGGGGAAAAGGGATGAAAAAAGGAGGTTTCAGCCGCCTCTCAGCTGCCTCTCCGGCTGCGTGCCCTTCCTCTGGGGAGCTGACAGCACGCCTGAGACAAAGCGGGAGGCGTCACTTGCAGAAGGGGAGGGCGGGACGAGCCCCACCCACTCCTCCAACTGGTGGGTGCCTGGTGTAGTGAAGAAGGACGGGAAGGTAGCAGTGGGGTTAAGCCGCCTCACAGCCGCCTCTCAGGCTGCGCGCCCTTCCTCTGCGTCGCCTGCAGAGGAGGGCGGGACGAGCCCCACCCACTCCTCCAGCTAGCTGATGCGTGCCTGGAGAGAGGTGGGGAGGGTGGGTGGGAGAAGAGGAAGAAACGGGATTCAGCCGCCTCTCAGGCTGCTGGCCCTTCCCCTGTTGGGCTGAAGGTACGCACGAGACGAAGCGAGAGGCGTTGCTTGCAGAAGGGGAGGGCGGGACGAGCCCCACCCACTCCTCTAGTTGGTGCGTGCATGGAGAGAGGTGGGGAGGGTGGGTGGGAGAAGAGGAAGAAACGGGATTCTGCCGCCTCTCAGGCTGCTGGCCCTTCCCCTCTGGGGGGCTGACAGAACGGCACGCCCAACACGAAGCAGGAGGCGTCACCCGCTGGCCCAACACGAAGCAGGAGGCGTCACCCGCTGGCCCGACACGAAGCAGGAGGCGTCACCCGCTGGCCCGTCTCACAAGTGCAAGAGCGTGATCAGCACGTCATGTGTCACGCACTCACCATCATCGTCCAGCAGCTCGCCGTATCGCACCAACGCCCGGCTGCCCACAATCTGCAGCACCGTGCCCGTGAACCAAGCTGCAAGCAAGCAGCAATCGCCAGGCACTCACCACAAGGCACTCATACCCATGCCCCCTCATCTCACCATCGTCATCCAGCAGCTCGTCGTATCGCACCAACGCCCGGTTCCCCACAATCTGCAGCACCGTGCCTGTGAACCAGCTTCCCCTCAGCCCCTCCTCGTTGGACGCCACCTGTGGCAGTGAGGGCGATAAAGGAGTGCAAAGGAGTGCAAAGGAGTGCAGGCACATAGATGCGTGGGTGGGGAGACGGTGAGTTGCCCACAATCTGCAGCACCGTGCCCGTGGTGAACCAGCTGCCCCTCACGCCCTCCTCGTTGGATGCCACCTGTGGCAGTGAGGGAAAGAGGCAAAGGAGTGCAAAGGAGTGCAGGCACAGAAGCGCGTATATGGGGAGATAGCGAGTTGCCCACTATCTGCAACACCGTGCCCGTGAACCAGCTACCCCTCGGGCCCTCCTCGTTGGGCGCCACCTGTGGCAGTCAGCGGGGAAAAATAGGCAGGAGAGGCATGACAGTGCATGCACACAGACACATAGGTTATGCGGAGACGGCGAGTCGCTGGCTGAGTCCATGTACAAAGCTATGTGAAAGCAGGCATGCCCCGTACATGCCATACCATACGTGCCATGCCCCATACATGCCATACCATACGTGCCATGCCCCATACATGCCATACCATACGTGCCATGCCCCATACATGCCATACCATACGTGGCCATGCCCCATACATGCCATACCACACGTGCCATGCCCCATACATGCCATACCATTCGTGCCATGCCCCATACATGCCATACCATATGTGCCATGCCATGCCCCGTACATACCTCTACAAAGGACCCCACAGTGAACTTGTGTCGCAGAGTCTGTCCCCCCTCCTCCTCCTCCGCCTCCTCCTCCCCTTCCTCTTCCCCATACTCCCCCCCGCCCTCCATCTCCCCCCGCGACCTCTTCCCCACCCGCCACTCCCCCCCTTCCTCCCCCTCATCCTCCCCTTCGTCCCAGACTGACTTGCGCCCACGCCCCCTCCCCCTCCCCCCTGCCCCTGCCCCTCCCCCTGCCTCTCCCCCCTCCCCCTCCCCCTCCCCCTTCCGCTTCCCCTTCCCCCAGGCGTCCCCTCATACCCCTGAAACGCCACAGGGCTCACCCCTCCGCCTACCACTCCCCCCATCCCTCCCCCTACTCCTCCCCCTATCCCTCCCCCTATTCCTCCCCTCCCCCCCGAACCTCCTCCCCCTCCCCCAAACCCTTCCTCCTCCGTCCACGTGGCAGCTCCTGATTCGTCCATAGGAGAAGCCCCCTGCACCCCCTCCAACCCCTCTACTTCCTCCTCATCCTCCTCCTCCTCCCACACCCCATCTCCCATCTTCCCAAGCTCCCTAGCCGTCCTCCTAACCCTCCTCGGCTTAACCTGCAGCGCAAGTACATACTTCACCCCTCCTTTCTCCCCCTTCCTCCCTCCTCTCCCCCTTCCTCCCCCGCCCCCCTCCCTCCACTCCCTCCCCTCCTCCTCCATCATTATCAACCCCACCTTACTCCTATAATACTTAACTAAGTCCCACGCTGACTTGGCAGCGGCAGCCGACGCGCGAGCAACAGCAGCAGCAGCCAATGCCTGCGCAGCCAGCTTCCCTGCTGAGCTGTCAGCCTCCACGTGGCAGTTGTCCACCTCATAGAGCTCCTGCCACATGGCGTCCAGGTCACGATCGAGAGCCAGCATGGCTTTGCCTGCACTGACAGCCGAGTCCTTTGCCATTAGCAGCGCTCGGTCGGCTGCCTCGCACCAGCCGTCTAGAAGGGGACCGGCGGGTTTGGTGGGGGTAGGGGCCGAGGGGGTGGCGGCTTCTGTAGCAGCAGAAGTAGTTATAGCAGCAGCAGCAGGAGGAGGAGGAGCATCTGTAATGGCAGTAGCATCAGTAACAGCAACCTCATGAGAGGCTGTAGCAGCAGCATCGGCTGGAGCAGCAGCATCAGCTGTAGCAGCAGCATTGGCTGTAGCAGCAGCATCAGTGGTAGCATCATCAGCAGGTGCAGCAGCAGCATCGGCTGTAGCAGCAGCAGCATCCGTTGCAGCAGCATCAGCAGGTGCAGCTTCACTTTCAGCAACAACGGTTGCAGCAACATCAGTTATAACCACATCAGCAGTTGCAGCATCAGTGGTAGCAACATCAGTAGTTGCAGCATCGGTAGTAGCGGCATCAGTAGTAGCAACAGCTGCAGCAGAATCGTCAGGAGCAGCACCATCAGGCGCATCAACAGCAGCTGTAGCAGCAGCAGCAGCTTCATCAGCAGCACTACCATCAGGCATGTCAGCAGCAGTGGTAGCATGAGGGGCATCGGCGTTGCTTCCCTGTGCTTGCTCCTGCTTCTCTTTGCCAACTTCTGCTTCCTCTGCAGGCACTTTCTCTGCTGCTTCCTCTGCAGGCACTTTCTCTGCTGCTTCCTCTGCAGGCACCTTCTCTGCTGCTTCCTCTGCAGGAACCTTCTCGGCTGCTTCCTCTGCAGTCACCTTCTCGCCTGCTTCCTCTGCAGTCACCTTCTCTTCGGTTTCCATAGCATCTGCTCCCTTTTCATCACTTCCCCTTGTTGCTTCTGCTGCATCAGCTGTAGCAGCCTCGGCTGTGGCAGCATCGGTTGCAGCAGCATCGGTTTGTAGCAGCATCAGTTGTAGCAGCATCACCTGTAGCAGCATCAGCTGTAGCAGTGGCAGCAGCATCGGCTGCAACAGCAGTATCCTTGGCATCTGTTTCCATTGTGTCTGCTCCCTTTTCCTCACTCCCCTTAGTTGCTTCCGCTACCTCAGCTGTAGCACAATCGTTTGTAACAGCAGCAGCAGCATCGGCTGTAGCAGCACCATCAATTGTAGCAGAGGCGTCTGCGTCTGTTTCCATTGTGTCTGCTTCCTTCTCATCACTACACTTAGCTGCTTCCGCTACCTCAGCTGTAGCACCCTCGGTTTCAGCAGCCGCGTCATCAGTTGTAGCAGCAGCAGCAGCAGCATCGGTTGTAGCAGCAGCAGCTGCATCGCGTGTACCAGGGTCTTCCTTTGTATCCTCGTCCATTGTGCTTGCTCCCTTCTCGTCTGTTCCCTTAGCTGCTTCTGCTGCATCAGCTGTAGCAGCATCGGCTGTAGCAGCATCAGCTGTAGCGGCATCACCTGTAGCAACAGCGCCCTCCTTCGTATCTGTTTCCATAGCGTCTGCTGCTCCTTCTCCTGACCTTCATCAGCTGCTTCCTTCGCATCACCTGTAGCAGCATCAGCTGTAGCAGCAGCGGCGTCAGCTGTCGTAGCAGGAGCGTCAGCTGAAGCAGCAGCAGTAGCATCAGCTGTAGCAGCATCCACTGAAGCAGCAGCATCCTCCTTTGTATCCACTTCCATAGTGTCAACCTCCTTTCCAGCGCCAGCAGCAGCAGCAGTATCAGCAGCACCAGCATCAGCAACAGTATCAGCCACCGCAGCAGGAACAGCAGCAGAAACAGCACCTCCAACACCAGCATCATCAGCAACACCAGCACCAGCAACCTCATCCTTCTTCTCCTCTCCTTCCCTTTTTCGCGCCCATCCACACACACCAACCCAAGAGCAGCAGCGGCATGCTTCCCAGCCACCGCAGCAGCAGCAGCCGCCCTCCCAGCAGCTTCCTCTGCAATCGCCCTATCCGGGGCCAAAACCAACAGATACTCCCTCGCCTCTTCTTCCTCCACTTTCCCCCACGCCGCCCTCCCCAAAACCGCCCCCAATTTCTGCGCTTCTGCAGGGATTCTAGGCCCGACTCGGTATTTTCTGTGGGGAATTTCCCCGTCGATTTCCCCTGGATTACCCTCTTCCCCTTCCATTCCCTCCGAATCCCACACTCCCCCTCTCCTCATCCCCCTGCCCCCATCCCGTTCCCTGCGTAATACCCCTCCTCCCCTTCTTCCCCCGGGTATTCCCCCCTGCCCCCATATCCCCCCCCATGGGCAGCATACGCGCCCCTTCTCCCCTCCCCCTCCCCCCGCCCCTGCCCTCCCCCTACCTCGGCCCCGACCTCTCCCCTGCCTCGGCCGCCCGAGGCTTGGTAGCCAATCATGCGCTTGCGCTCCTCCAAGCCTCCACCACTTCAAGCCAGCGCTCATGCTCTGGTGTGCCTAGGTCTGGTTGGAGGGAGTGGGAATGAGTGCGAATGTATGGGAAGGAGTGGGAC